ATTGTGTGTGTGTGTGTGTGTGTGTGTGGCCAGCTCAGCCCACCAGGGGGCGGGGCTGGCTGGCATGTGGTGCTGGGGGATTGAACCGCGGTCCCGGTGCTTTGCTAAGCTTGTTCTAAGTAGGTGCTCTAGACCACTGAGCCATCTCACCAGCCCTGCTGTGAAGTTTTAATACATATTCAGAGTAAGTGCTCAATAAGCATTTGCTCTTTAAATTAAAAAAAAATATATTTATTTTACTTATTTCTGGTGCTGAGGATGGAACCTAGGGCCTTGTCCATGCTAGGCACGTGCCCTGGCCACAGCATTATGTATTCTTGGAGGGCCATCAAGTTGGTAAGAGCTGCCTTAAGAGCCCCGATTCCCAAAGTGGGGTCCCCAGACCTGTAGCATCACATCTGGAGATGTGTTAGAAGTGGGAATTCCTGAGCTCCCTACAAAACGGCTAAGTCAGAAATTCTAAGGCACCATTCCAAAATCTACAGTTTAACAAGGCCCCATGGTGATTCTGATTTAGCAGGCAGCTTTAAGAACTATAGCACTGTACTGCTATAGATACATTTGCCAAATGACCAGTGCGTCTAATTATCAAGGCAACAGACACGGACCTCAGTTGAACCCTGTGGATGTCTACATTTGGGTCACGATTTGCCAGCAGCTTTCACAGCCCTTGGAAGTTTTCTCCACCTAGCCCCACTGTAGACACCTCTGTCACTGCACCACACCAGCTCACCAGACTTCTCCCTGTGCCTGGTCTCACGTCATAGGTCACTCTCTCTCACTCACACACACACACACACACACACATGCTCAAATACTCAGGATTTTATGAGCAAATGCCTAGGCTTTCTCATCAACCCTTTTCCTAACTTCTTTAGTTTGTGTTAACTTCAATTGCAAAGTTAAACTGTACTCATTTAAATTGGACTATATAGTACAGCAATTAACCACTAAGAAGAATATATGCAGTGTGTTATTTGTTGAAACTGTACTTCCGTTTTGATTTGTAACTGTCTCGTTGCTATCTGTTTATCAATAAAATTTTGAAAAAAAAATAAATAAATTGGACTGTATATATGAATGGTTAGATATAAACTCCTGTAAAAAATTCACATAGCCAGGGAGATGGCTCAGTGGAATAAGCACTTCTCTGGCAAGTGCAAGCGCCTGAGTTCAATCCCCGGTTCACATAACTGAAAACACTGTCACAGATGTGCAAATAAGCAAGGATCCAATCTTTTGTCTCTTTGAAAGGCAGTGAATACTGAAGACATACACGATGTCTCAGATTAGGAAGATATTTCAAACATTTATTTGATTGGGTTGATTAGTAAATCTACAGATCTAAGCAAGGGAATGGATTGGTAATGTGTTGGGAGAGAGAAATCCCACCAGTAAGAACATGTTCATTTTTGAAAAGTCATAGACTGCTGGGCCTGGTGGTATGCTCTAATCCCAGAACTCCGGGAGGCTGAGGCAAGAAGAACAGGAGCTCAAGCCATGCCTGGATAATTTAGTCACTTAGTGAGGCCCGGTTTCAAAATAAAAATTAAAAAGCGTGGGAGGTGTAGCTCAGTGTAAAGGCCCTGGGTTCAATTCTCAGGACCACAAAAAACAAAACAAAACAAGTCAATAATTCAGGGCATAACATTTATTTTAAATCCAAAAGGCTGATTCCATCTTATCAGAAATTCAACAATGAAAATCTTAGTCACATGGTACAAAGGTTTTTAATAAACCTTGTAGAAAGACGGGCTGCAGACACAGAGTTATTGAGAATGTGGAGCAATGGATCATATTTTTCTTTTGTCGAAAAGAGGGAAGATTGAAGATATTAAAAGTTATAGGGGCTGGTGAGATGGCTCAGTGGTCTAAAGCACCTACTTAGAACAAGCTTAGCAAAGCACAGGGACCGCGGTTCAATCCCCCAACACCACATGCCAGCCAGCCCCGCCCCCTGGTGGGCTGAGCTGGCCACACACACACACACACATAAATAAAAATAAATAAAAATTAAAAAATAAATTAA